TACTACTAATATTTGATTTATATTAAAAATATTTATATTTGATTTATTAACTATTGAATATCATTTTAATTTAAGAATATAATGTGCTACTAAACTCGTTTAAACAAAATCTTATACTTCAGGTGATGGTCCCTTCCCTTCCCTTCCCAAATCTCTCCCCACAAAAAATTAGATGTCATCCTTTTTTATTTGTGGCCTTGTTTAAACCTCTTATTTTTCTTTTATCTTATTGACAATTACAAGGTAGAGTAAAATAATTATGTAGTATTTAAATGTTGGTAGCAGTTAGGATTAAATATGACTGGTTGATATCAACGTTAATCTAATTTATATATAAAAAATTAAAAATTAAATTTATTAAAAATAAAGGAAGAGATTACTATTTAGTTTGGACAATGATATATAAATAATTTTTTATTATTTTTATATAATTTTTATATATTATTAAATAAATAAATATATTTAATATTATAAATTTTAAATTAATTAATTAATTAATCATTTTAATATCATATAAAATTATATAAAAAAATTAAAAATATTATTTTTAAGTTTTTTACAATAAAAACAATGATTAAAAGTTAATATTTACTTAATAAACAAAGAGACTTAAACGTATGTGATTTTCAGCCGCTCTTCGTTGAGAAACGCGGTCCAACCAGTTAGCCACGTGGGGAAATTCATTCCAAAGTCATTTCGATTCGGTCAATATCAACGTTTACAATCATAGTCAAATGTTTAGTCCTGTCGATATCCGCGTTTCTACATTATGCGCGCGGATCCAATCAATGTAGATATATTCTTTAGAATATTCCGCCTGAGAATTGCGTATTGAAATCCAACATTGCGTCTGCATTCCATTAGGGTCCTCATCCAGATCTTAAAATGCTTTGCATTTACACAGGATATTAGTAAGGATTTTTTTTTAATATGTATGTTACGGATTAAGAGTATCAAAAAAATATAAATATTGATATTAATTTTAATATCAAATAAATTTAATTAAATAATTAATAAATTAAATATTTATTTTTATTTTTTTAATATACATTATAACAAAAAATATATATATAATATAATTAATATAACATTCACTTGTACCCTTATCGGATATACTCAAACCCTTTGTTTTTCTTTGTATTTTCCCATCCCAACATTTCCGAATCAATGAGGCCCGGCTTTTGAATGAGATTTTCTATTTAGAAAAGTAGAAGCCGTG